GAGCAGCGAGTTCCGAGGGGAGAGTCTCGGACAGGGATGCATGGGATTCATGGTAAGGCGCAACCAGTCTCGCTGGCCAGTATTTTAAAACCAACCGCGATGAGGTCTGCACAGGCGAAACAGATGTTGCATCGGCAGGATCCCGGCTAGGCTCGAAAGGCAGCGAGGGCGTGGGATCGCTTGTGGGATGCATCCTGGTCTCAAACGTGGTCGCGCAACCAGGGGTCCGACCCCAAACACGGGCCCAGCTGTTTGAGCCTGTGTGGTGTGTGGGTGGGCGGGCACGCGTATTGGTCATACGAGCAAGATGCGATTCCGTCATAAATGTGCGTGTTTTCCCATGTCTGCGTGGTGGTGAGAGAGCGCAGTTGGCACTTTTTGTCTGGTGGCGGCCGTTCCTTCGATGGCACAGGGAGTGCAGAGTGCCATGGATATTCATTCAAGGTTGATCACCGCCGCCTCATCCTCTTCCTCTGGGATGAGCTGCCCAAGGTTCAGTGCGGCTGGCAGGAGGCGGGGTCCGGACATGCAGTTGGCTCCCATCGGCAGTATGCAGTTAGTTCAGTTTCAACCAACTCTCGATCAGGGAGCTAAAAAATTACGTCCTGATCTAATAATAATCAATGTCTCTGCAGACAGCCAACAGATTGAGAGGCTTCTCTGTATTAAAATTGCTTCGGCGGTTATAGAGGATTAAGGTTTGAACAGACATAATGTAGTACTAGGCTACCTGCTCCTAAGGTAGCAGCAATAAGTAGGTGCCGTTGTCAGTTGAACCATCAGGACGTTTGCGCCGCCGGATGGGGGCTGAGCGAACCAGTCCACTCCCAACTTAGTTCTGGAGACACAAACATAGGATTTTCATTTCCGAAAATATTCTCTTTAACATTATTTCACTTATACTATTTTACTTAACGGCTCTTATTACCGTAGATATGTTGAAATAGAGCGAAGCATTGGTCAATGGCGGGCAGCTGTCCCACCCCCAACGGATGCTGATAAGCGATAAGGAATTCTGGCGAAAAAAAATTTCCCACCTGATTATCGCTGCAAGCCTCACATCCACTGATAATCTATCCCGCCGTCGCCAATTCCTCGCCGCATCTCAAACTGCCCCTCAATTGGGCACGCACAAGGAGCCATGGCTCCCATATTGTCGTCGCAAGACGCCTCATCTATCACCAAGAAGGAAAAGAAGGAGAAAAAGGACAAGTCCGCCAAGAAGCGTTCTCGAGAAGAAGACGCTGCCGACGCGGAGCGCAAGCACAAGAAATCAAAGAGCGTTGTTTCAGATCCCCCACCATCCGACATCGACAATGGTGAAGTGAGCTCTGAGAAAAAGAAGAAGAAAAAGAAGGACAAGAAGAAGAGCGAGGCCCAGGAAGATGTCGCCAATGACGAGAGCCTAGCTGTCAAGGCTGATGAGGGTGCTTCGAAACCAGAGAAGAAGAAGAAGAAGAGCAAGAAGGACGGAGTACCCGAAGAGTCCCAGACAGTCGCCGAGTCCGATAAAAAGAAGAAGAAGAAAGACAAGAAAGTGAAGGAGGGCGAGCAGCCAGTGGCCGTTGAGAGCACCGAGGGCAAGAAGTCCAAGAAGCACCAAGAACCGATACCCGAGTCCTCGGAGGAGGAGAAACAAGAATCAGTACCAGAACCAGAGGTCGACGCCATGGAGGTCGACGAAGCCCCCAAGCCAACCTCAAAATCCTCCAGCAGCAAGATCCACTCGCCGGCCGACATCCCTTCCAACCCCCAATTCCCCTTCTTCAACCAAACTGTCTCTCTCTACGAGCCCATCTATCCAAACGGGTGGGCCCACCCGATCTCTGGCTGCGAATCCCAGCACCTCCGCCACCTCCTGAACCGCTACGTCCCCTCCCTCCGTGGCGTCCTCCTCGAGTACAGCAATGTTGCCCTGAATGACAAGCCCAGCCGCCAAGGCGCCGCCACCGACGACGACTCCCACGCCGTCCTCTCCGCCCGCAACGAGTTCGGCGGCGGCTTCGGCTGGATCACGGCCGACGTCAAACTATTCGTGCCCAGCCGGGGCGCCTGGATGGAGGGCAGCGTCAACCTGCAGACCGAAGGCCACATCGGCGTCGTCTGCTTCGGCAAGTTCAACGCCTCCATCGAGGCGCGCCGCCTGCCGCCCTCCTGGAAGTGGGTGCCCAACGAGGATGCCGAGGACGGCTTCGAGGAGACGGCCTCGGTCTTCACGGGGGCCGACGAGCACGGTGTGGTGCGCCAGATCCACAGCACCGGGTTCTGGGTGGACGGCAACGGCGACAAGATCAAGGGGAAGACCCGGTTCCGCATACGCAACTTTGACGTGGGCGTGAGCGGCGACTCGACGTACCTGAGCTTGCAGGGCACGATGCTCGACAAGCCAGGTGAGAAGAAGCTGGTTGAGCAGGAGGCTCGCGAGGCTCGTGAGAGGAAGGAGAGGAAGGGTGGGTATGCCAGGAAGAGGGCCCCCGAGTTCAGTATGACGAGGTTCCTGGGTGAGGAGCAAGAGGAGAAGGAGAAGGAGAATGAAAGCCAGCCTACTACGACTACTTCGGGGGCCACGGGGGAGCTCAAGACGTTTGAGGAGTAAGGGGACTGGGACCATGGAATGTTGTATATGTTCGGAATCAAAAGAATTTTCCACCTTAAGCGTGTATTGGTAATTTATTCACACTTCATTGAATGCAAAACAAAAGATTTTGGGATTCGAGTGAGCCTCATTTTGATTATAATTTTTTTTTCACTTCTGATACTAAGCAAATTGTAGGCTCAAGGAGCGACTATGGTCAATTATTGCTACGCTAAGCTAGGTGCATGTTTGCAGCTACAACTAAAAGGAGATGAGTTGGCGTCGGTGCCCTGCTGTGAGAACTGGCAATCTATATGTGTGCATCCTGTTCCATGATAACATAATAGGAAAGTTCATAAACCCAAATGCTCCCCAGTCCCCGTATGATCGCTTATCGCTAAAACAAAAACAAAAAAAAACCAAAGGAAAGTATATTAAAATGAGTGTGGTTGTGGTGTGGTGTTGTTTTGTTTTGTTTATGCGGATGCCTTCACCATGGGTTCCCACGGTTTGGCCATATTCCAGAGATAGATCTCTCCCTTGGGCTCGTCGCCGATCAGGCCCTGGACAAATATATGTCTGAACAGCGGCGATGCGTCGAAGAGCGGCGTGACGGGCGGTACGCTGACACGCTCCCAGCCGAGGGTGAGCCCGTCGACCCACGATGGCTGGCGGCAGAACGCATCCACCTTGTCTTCGAAGGCGGCGAGGTCCTTCTCCGGCCACTCGTTGGTGATGACCTGGAAGCGCACGCCCTGGATGTCCACGGTGATCCGCTGGGCGGTGTTGGGGGCGCTGGCCAGCACCCACGTGTAGTCGGTCCTGTCCCCGCAGCTCTCCCAGTCGTACCACACCTGAGTACCGCGTTCTGAGAAGTCCTCGAGGACGAGGCGGGAGCTGGAGTCGAAGGAGAGGGAGCAGTGCTGCCTTGAGATGCCCGGCAGGGCGGGCAGGACGATGTCGCAGGTGCGAGGGTCCGTGCCGAGGATGAAGCTCCCGGGACGCTTGGGGGCCTGGTCGAAGGAGAGCTGGATGGCCCTTTGGGGCCTGCTGACGATGAGGTTGGGGAGTTTGGAGGTGAGGTGGGCGGAGGAGTCGATGGGGATGGTGCGGAAGAAGTTTTCGGTCATATTAGTTGTTTTATCGGCATTGCTACCGCGCGCCGTTGGAACCAGCCAGGCGAAGATGTTCTCGAAGGTCGTCATGATGTTGGGTATCAAAAGTCGAGGTTATTATATGTGTGTGATAATATGGTATGACAAGGCACTTGTGTGCTGAAGAAAGAGACTGTAAAATGCAAATGCAAATGCAGAGCACGCTGTATAAAGAATGGCAGGAGAAAGCTGTCTCGTTATGGAGTCCGACCCGAACGAGATGAGTCGGTAAGTCGAAATACAAACATCAAATGATTGAGAAGAGAATATGGAACTGATGATGATGTTTGCCAGTGTAGCCTTTTCTCGTGCCTTTTTATAAACGATGTGTTGCTGTGTGAGGGTGAGAGTGCAACAGGCCAAGACGAAGGGCAGGGCTGGTTTAAAACGCGTCGAGGGACCTGGAAACAAGTCGGTTCGAAAAACATTCGTTCCCTTTCAATCAACGTGCATTTCATCGTGGTTTGTGGTGGTTGGTGGGCTCTGGGGGGATGCGGTGGCACAACGGGCTGCTCTCAGCCAATCGATCTGGAGACGCGTTCGAACTCGCATACACACACCCAAATCCGATCCCCCAATGATTTGCTAACAAGTCAGCTGCATGGCTACTATCTGGGGCAGATCAGACACCCAGCACCAAACACCGCGGTCGAGCCAGGTTTTATCTGCACGAGTCTCGCGATGTCGTTGAGTCATCGCATGCCCACTGCCGCGACAGGCCCTGGGGCTCGGCAACAATGGTAGGCCGTCCAGGGCTGCTTGGGGAACCCGAGACCCACGAGTTATTGTCGATCACTCGTGTGAGGCAATAGGGAAACAAGTCTGTTACTGCATAACACGCACGTCTTAAGCTTCGCTGTGCATCACTTGGCGTAGCAGTTTGACAAAGGCTGGCGCAGAGCGAGTATTCGTCACATATCTTGGAACGGTGTTTCACCGACGGCCCTCCGGAGTCCAGTCCGGGCCAGAGGACGCTGGTTGGCTGATTTCATCACCATATCAATCTCATGTTTTGCCAGCTCCGTAGCTGGTCTTTGGGTGAGACTCTCACGCGATGTGAAGCCTCCACGACACACGACAGAAGCCGTGGTGGGGCGACATTGCCAATTGCATGAAGCGCACTAGACGAAAGCTCCCAGAGTGAAGCCTGAATTACAAGGCATCACTCCACAGCCCTGCAGCCGAGCTTGAACCGCCATCCAACTGCACTCTTCGATAGTATCTCCAAACAGCAGAACGGCACATCGTCGACAGCCAATTGATCCACAGCCATGGCTTCCGACACTTCATCAGAGCCCCGGGGTGTGTTATTTCCCACAATATATTGCTTTACGTGGAAAACAAGACGCTAACCTTCTACAGCCGCCACCCGCGAGGAGATGCGCGATGCCAAGCTCCCACTTGCCTACCGAGACAGCTGCGCCCATCTTCTGATTCCCCTCAACAAGTGCCGTCGCGAGACTTGGTACGCTCCTTGGAAGTGCACCGTATGTTCCCCCCGCTCGGCCCCTCCCCGCCAATCCCGGAGTCTCGGGTTGCAGGACCCTCAGCTTGAGACTCTGGTGGTGAGTGAGTAAATTCGAACCCTGGGCTGACCTCAATGGTGCTATATTTAGGACGAGCGTCACAGCTACGAGAAGTGCCAATACGTCGAATTCAAGAAGCGAGTGGCCAAGATGGACGAGCTACGAGAGGCCAAAGGTGGAGCCAGGAGCAACTGATTCCTTTGCGTTGTCAAATGGACCGATCGCCGGCTTATGTATATGTATGATTAAAACCGGGCAGACCATCGGAATATAAGACGCTGTCGCATCAAAACATCATCACCCTACACCTGATTCGGCCTTTGGATTTTGCCAACGCTGCCTGTTGTGGATATCAGAGGGCAAGTGACGTGTTTATGTCGGGATGACCTCGAGTGGCTGCCGAGTCGGAAAGCTTGCCACTGCCTCTCGTGCGTGAGAGAGCAGTTGGCCCGGCCAGCTGTCGCCCCGGCTGAACACCTACCATCCTGGTTCGATGGTAGGTTGGCCTCGTATTTCTGTTCTGATGTGATGTGCTGGTCAAGATCCCAATGGCCATGTGGGCATGTTTTGCTCTTTCTGGAAGGCCTCCTCTTGTCTTCGAAGCTTTGGCTTCGCTGTCCGGCAGTCACGCGATGGTTATTCGGATATTTTTGGTCTACGAATGTGCTCGATACGGTCCCAGTCTTGTTATCCGAGCGCCTCCGTCACAGAGGCTTCATGTTAAGAGGGAAATCCGGGGGTGAGGCAGGACATACAACTGTCTCCTCTTTCGAGCTGGATAAAATATGTGTAGCCTGTGAAAAATACAAATCCCTCCCCAGTAATGCCATTCCTTAGTCAAGTCCAGAGCCAGAACAATCATATGCAACAAGGTTTCTATCAAACATACCTCCTACCCTATAGTGGCGGCTACTTTGACCCCCGATTACTCCAACCAACATCTCCTTATCTTTGGCATCGGTATGCGTACATGTAAATGTTTTTGTATCGTATTGGGTGCGGTTTTGCCCCTTTTCTACCAATATTACATGCTCAATTCGTAAGTTGGTGGTGAAGCCATAGTTTCATTTTAAGTCAAACAGTGAGGTGCTTAGAAACACCTAGTTTTGGTCTTTACAAAGCCCTAGAGAGTAGACATTTCAAAATAAATACTGGATGAAAGTTATATTTAAAGCCGTGTCACAAACGCATATTCCAGCATATGTGTATTTAATATATCTAGCCATAAAAAGAAACTGTAAGGAGCCTTACAAATGGGCGACCAAGAGGAAAGTGCCCGTTCTGTTGAATCGCCTATCGATAAGAAGTTTCTCATCAAACAGAGCTAACGGACGCTAAGACTACCTTGCAGTTCCGAATTGATTTTTTTAGCGGGTCGCGTCCAAGAGCGCGCCTGTAGATTGTTCGTGGGAAGGACGTCACTTACTTCTGGGTCTCGCCTTCAGCTTCACTTGGCTTCGCCTTCCTCACGTTCTTTCGTTTCTCTTTTCCCATCCCCGTCTTCTTTTACCCACCTTTAATTAATTCGAATTAATTCTCTCACATCACTATGCGGTAGCAACTGAACAACATGCCTTCAGACATCCGGCTCCGCCTGACCATCCACAGGCACGGCATTCCCGAAGTCAAGCTCGTTTGGCCGTGCGTTGCTTCCGAAGATTTTACGATCGCAAAACTCCTAAGCCAAGTCAACGATGTTGTTCCTCTCGAGAGCGGCCAGTGGGGATTTGAGGACTACGCCGTAGAGCTCGCCGATGCCTCTGGTGGCAACTTCGAATGCCTGCACTACCAACGGGTTGGAGCCGTTTTCAAGAACGATGACCAAGTTCTGTAGGTTTGCTCCTGTAACCCTAATCACATGCGATGCCCGAGAGATGGGACATATGCTAACCGTGGAAAATTTCTAGAATCCGATCTCTTCTCACCGATGATCTAAAGCGTCGCCGACTTAGTGGTCGCCACCAGATATCGTCTGATGGAAAGCACCTTGTAGATGGCCTTGCCTTTGGCCGGCCCTGGCTACGCACCCCCGGTGATCGACCTCCAGTTACGCTTCCTCCCCGAAAACGAGCTCGCATTACTTACGATGACGATGAACTCGATGCTGAAGAGGACCAAGAAGAAGAGGAGGTGCGAGGGCAGTTGCTTCTGGAAGAGGCGCAACCTTTACGCATAGGTCGCAACGGAAGACTGTTGTTGGACTCCTCCGAACCTTTGGTTAGGTACCTGGAAAATGGTACGGACGACGAGAATGACCAGGATTATGTACCCGGCGGTGCCACTAAGGCGGGACTCTCGACTGGCGATAACGAAGACGAGGATGACGGAGACGAAGATTTAGTCGACGACGGGGAAGATTTGGACGAGGAAATCCGACTGTTGCAAGCAGACAACGAAATCATCGGCGAGCCTTCATCGCTCGGTGCAAAGGATTTGCCGCCAGAGCCTACCAGAAATTTGATACAGGAATTTATCCGTGCCATCGAGGCTCCTTCCGACCCCGTTACAATGATAGCGCTTCAAGCAGCGTTTCCATTAACCCCCAAAACCACAATCGAGAGTCAACTAAGGGAGAATGAGATGGATATTCGAAGAACATATCTGTCTCTGGACGCATCATATGATGCAGCTCTGAGCTACGACGAGCTACTGGATGGGTGTGTGACTGGGCGCTTTGAGCACCAAGCCAAAATTGCAGAAAAGGAGGAGACTCTGGCAAAGGCTCCCGTGAGACCACTAATCCAGGAAGTTGAAACTGTTGATGCCCCCTTGGCTTCCACCACGAGAGCTCATGGCAATGGGGAAATTGCCGATGACGATACGAGCGAGAGTAGCGATGAGACATCAAGTTCGGATGATAGTAGTTCTAGTTCAGATTCAGATTCAGGTTCAGACTCTGACTCTGACTCTGACTCGGATTCTGACTCAGACGAAGACTCGCCAGCTCACCACAACCGTGCGGTACCACAGAGACCAGTGAGCTCTGATGAAGAATCCAGCTCTGACGACAGTTCAGACAGCGACTCTGACTCCAGCTCCAACTCTGGAGGAATATCGCTTGTTAATAATACCAAACGCGGAATCGCAGTTGTGGAGGAAGTAGAGAGTTCGAGCGACGAATCCTCTGATTCTTCAAGCGATGATTCCGATAGTTCCGAGGATGGTTCAGATGATGATTCAATTTCTTCCTCGAAACCTGAAGAAGCCTCGTCGAAGCTGCCGGCGGCCTCGACAAGGCCTAGGATTGAGGTGGTGGAGAGTACACCGCTTATCGCTGAACTGAAGCAAAAGACAGCCGTGTCTTCGCCCGTGGTCACCACAACATCTGACACAGTTGGTCACGGCCAGGGTCTGAGTAGAACCCAGAAGCGGAACGCTCGTAGGAAGATACTGCGCGAGATAAAGAAAGTGGAAGAGCAGAATGAGATCGCTCGGGGTATCACAACGGACAGTCTTAGCCAAGAACTCTTGGCCAGGAAGCAAGCGCTCCTAGATGCCGTGGCTGGAAAAGCTGTAACGGTAGATGATGAAGAGATGGCAAGTGTGGATGGCCAGGGCAACGAGGAGGCCACAGCCCAGGAGCCTACATCGAAACCCCCAAACGAGCAACAGACCGAAACCCCTGTTGTAAATCCAGAAGTTGAAGCGCTTACGAATACGAAGGATTCCTCTACTACAAGTCAACGTCGTATGCGCGTCGATATGGGTGCAGGACGACGGCTTCTTTTTGGTGCTCTGGGGGTCAAGGCCCCAAAATCGAAATCTGAGGAAGAAAATCTCAAGAAGGATTTGATGAAGGATGTTCGCCCACTAAAGAATCATCGGCACCTCGAAAATGGAGATGCTCCCCCTTCAGGTCAAGGCTCAAACCCTGCTGACAAGGTTGAGGATTCTCCACCGGACGACGACTGGAAGAAGAAAATCACCTACCGGGCAGTTGAGTGCTGCTACGAAGGTGTGGCACTAAGTGAACCACCGTTTCCGTTTGTCCAACGATGGGATCCTCAGCAACAATACGGGTCTATGCGGAAGCGAAAGCGCGACTCGCAGAATTTCACACAGGACGAGCCTTACGATGATGAAGAGGATGGGTCGTACGAATACCCTGAACCGTCCGGGGCCCGCTTTGGAAGCGCGCACAAGAAGGCACGAAAAAGTCGAAGCCAAGAGCAGGAAGTATCAAAGAGGATTGATACCCAGGCAGCTGACGATATTGTGCTCAACTACGATGACCCACCTATTCAGGAACGAGAGGGCACCCCGAAGGAGATTGAAGACCTCCCTTCTATCCCGGATGATGTCACAAAACTCACTCTTCTCCAGCGAGATACGGTCAAGCCTGGAATGGTCATTACTTGGAAACAGTTGTCCATGTCGAACAACTGGCAACCCCAATTGACCTCAGCTACGGGTACTGTGATTTCCGTGGGTGATGGACAGCGGTTGCATCTGGTACTTGCCAAGCGTGATCGTGACCAGCGCGAGAAGCTTTACGATGATGAAACGGGCCAGAGGGTATATGATAAATTTGAAATGCCCGATGATTCAGAAGAGGAAGACGACGCAGAGGATGATGGGCATCGTGAGTTGGGATGGAATGAGCTCATGGAACCTCGTATTGTCCAGGAGGCGCCGTCATCTTCGCAGGCATCTTCACCTGTGAACAAGCAAGCATCTCCAGTAGAACAGGCAGCTGACACCGAAGCTATGGTGCTGGACCGGGTTCGGGTCGACGAGGTGCAGGGGCAACAAGACCAGGACATGACTGATTCGCTTCCCCAATCAGGGCAGGGCATGGTTGACATGGAATTCTCAATCCCTTCACTGGATCCGCCAACAACAAATAGCGACGGCAGCCGAGCTGGGGCTTCCCAAAGTCAACCCGGCCACGATCAGACAGGATCTGGTATGCTGAAACAGGAGGAGAAGCCCCTTATCGAAGTCGTGCAGAGTTCAGATGAGTCGGAGTCGGATTCGGATTCAGACTCATCCTTCCAAGATGCCGCAGTGTCGCTCGATTCCATTGTTGAAAGCACCAATTCAGATGCAGAAGATGATGGCAACCAAAGCCCCTCGCAAGGCTCAGACCCGGCCTCAAGCCCGAGCATTCATAGTGGCCGTCAACCTGGAACAGAATTGGAAGTGCCGGACTCGATGAATCAAAGAGAAGACGAAGACGAGGCTGAACCGATTATCTTTGATACAAACCAAGAAGAGAACGAGGTCACACCAAAGGCAAGGCGAGGGTCATCTGGAGATGGATCGAGTTCTTCGGAGCTCCCTTCCTTCGAAGAGCTATGGGAAACGGCACGCACATCGAAACAAACTCGAGGCGTCTTGAAGGCATCTCAGGAATCAACGACGCGGAAAGAAAAGGCTACAGGCGATGCTGAGCACCAGGGGGCGATGCCGAAACTGAACGATGCGGAACGTGATGGAGCTACTCCTCGACTCCGACAGAACACGACACGAAACCTGTTCCCAAATGCTTCACAGCCAATTGTATCACACTCTATAGAGGACTTGGATGATCTAAATGGCCAAAAGACCAACGGTCGCAGCCTACGCCAACGGACAAGGGTCGCCTCACCTCTGGGAAAGGATATTTTGCGGTCAAGCCCCGGACCAGCCCAAGAGACGTCGGAAGATGAGGATGACGAGGATGACGAGGATGATTCATCCAAGAGCAGTAAGGAGAACAGACCGCAAGAGAAGCTTGCGCGGCTAAATAAGGGTCCAGGGCGGCCACGCATTCGGAGAGAGGGATCCAAGGCCGACCTGAGGCACAAGAGTCTGCCTCTGACAACAGGTGTACGGTCTAGCAAGAAGTACTTTGCCAAGACGGGAGGGAGAAGTGTTTCCGTAGCAGGACGAAGAGGTACCAAGAAGATTTGAAGAAGGTACCTTGGTGTGAGATACAGGGGGACTGGGACAGTTTCATATCGCGCTTTCTGCCCACCTGTGGCATATCTGACTTGTCAACGTTCATAATTATACCCAGCTAAGACATAGCGAGACAAGTAGATAGTAGCAAAATCAGTGGTTACACATAATTGAGAGGATCCGTACATCTAGGAATGTTGATGCAGATGTTTGATTGAAGCTACCTACCTACGCAGATATCTAGTACCAAAGCCATGTGGCGGATGGCTGGGTGACACTGGGAGAGACATTGACCTCATCGACGCGCGAGGAGGCAGCACCTGTAAAACAAGGAGGGGCCCTCGGCTCTTGGCTAATACATGCGCCAGTAATACGCATTGTTGCAGCACAAGACGTACCTAGCTACGTAACATGTATTGGTCCAGCTGACCATGGAGGTGCGAGCTAGCAGACTAGAGCCCGTCCTTGGACATCAGGTGCCAAGACGAGTGACCGGTGTGAGATGGGCTTGTCAGTAGCAGTAATGCGCTGTGCCCAAGTCTGAATGAATTTGGATGGATGCTTTGTGAGTGTGTGTGTGCCGGGAGGTGGCGGGGAGGGACCCGTGCCTCGGCGTGGTCCAGTCCCTTCAGGGTCTAATTAGGAACGGTCCAGAGTCGAATGTTACCACCATGTTCTGTTCAGGGTCTCGGACAACGGCAAGGTGGATTGAGGGGATGAAGAGGAGAGGGCTGTCCCGTATTATTCCAGCGAGACTAGCCGCTTAGTCTTGGCCCTTGTGTGAATCTATCTTCCCCCGCACAATCCACGACGGGCCTTGACCTCACCGCCAATTGCTTTCCGGTTCCCGGGCTGGGCTCTTTGTGGGGAGAAGGCAGATCCTTTTTTTCTTCTTCCTTCTTCACTAATCGGAATGTTGTGCCTTGGAAATGGGGTGATGGGCGGACAATGTGGCGGCTGGCGAGTGGGCGGGCTGTTTTCTTGGCGGCGCGATGGGAGAGCCCTACGCATGAGAATACCGGCACGCTACATGGCGTTGGCTGACGGCGCCAAGAAACGCCAGGATGTGACCGCCGGAGACAGGTCAGTGAGTCAAAGTGAGGAGAGGTCCAGTTGGGTCGAGGAAAGGGAGGGCTTTGAGAAGGGAGGGAGGGATCCCTTCGCTACCACAGAGAGCAGGCCAAGGGAAGGGAAGCAGAGTGATTGACTGGCCTTGCCCGCCTGGAGCTGGTTACATGCAATCAATCTGCCTGGTACATAGGTGTAATTAAGCTGTGTCTGGTGCGAGGTACCTTCCCAAGCCAAGCCAGTGCCCAGAATAAGGTACATACATACATATGTGCCTTGGTCTTAGTCGTAGCCTAATACATCCATTCACACGCACATACGAAACTGTAATAAGACCCAAGGTGGCCAACGCTCTTCTTCTGTCTCGACCTGCAACTCTCAACTCTCTCTCTCCCCCTCTTCTCGCTGCTTCATCGTTGCACCTACTCGTTCCTGTGGTTTGAACCACCGTGAAGACGTGGTTTCGGTTATTCCACTGGTTGCTTCACTGAACCCCAGCTACGGCACTCACCTACTACAACCAGCTCGACCAGGCAATTCCACAAAGTCAACAAACAAAAACAAGAAAATCCTCGCATGTCCAGAAATCCTCCCCCGGGTTTCTCCTCGTACGGCCAATTGCTCTCTCCTCACCCAACCCATTGAACCTCGAACTCGATCATGAGGGTCCAGGTCGCGTGGGCGGTCTCACTCGCCACCACCACGCTGATCAGCGCCGCCGCCACTACACCCACAGCCGACGCTGCACCACCCGTGCTATTGGTCCCGCTACACCAACAGCAGCAGCAGCAGCAGCAGAACCCCCTCGTGGACCCCTCGGTCCGCGCCCACCAGAGACCACCACCGCTGCACAGCGCCGATCAGGACCAGGACCACCGCTGGATGGCACCCGTCGTCGTCGAGGCCGGCGCGCAGGGCGGTAGGAGCATGGGCGCCGTCGTGCTCGTCGTCGTGGGTGCCGCGGGCGTCTTCGCCATGGGCCTGGTCTAAGGAAGAGCCTCCCCCTTCTGAAATGATTTGACGAGAATGGGCCGGGGCGCAATCTGCTTGTTTTTGGAAATTTGGGGCGTTATGGGAAATACAGCGAGCTGGGGAAAACCTAGGTACGATTGGGTAGAGAGAGTATCTCCTTTTTGGGTTTCGTTGGGTGTAGAGGCCTAGCCTGGTGTTGCTCGCGGGATAACATTGATTGATACCCTTTTGGATGTGATGTGCTGGACACATTTTGATGATGGCACGACTGTATGAGGACGCTACTCTGGCGTGGAAAGACGTATCGGAATGGGAATATCAAACTATGATTTACACAAGTGTTGGGGCGCCTCTTTACTTGGTTGTGCTATGATGGCCATCGCTACATGGCATAGCATGTGGCTGAGATGCATATCTAGAGCGGCGATGAACAATGGACAACCAGTGTGGTCATTGTTCTCATTGAGCACATACTGGGATAGTAAACTCTAAAGCAGGACCTTTATTTGATCCCTGCGGAGCTGTCAAGTGGCATAAACGACACCGTGGGAAGTGGAACAGGCATTGTCATCGTCAGTCAGCTTGGGAAAGGCAGAATACGATTTGGTCCGAAACCCCAAACACCGTTGATTTCATGCTAGTGTATAGAAGGTAGACCCGTCGAAAAGCCAGAACCCCCTCCCCATATCGGCGCCGAATCCTTGAGAACGGAAGACAGCCAACACCCCGGCGATCGTGGCCGCCCTCGACGGCGAGCTGTGTCATTATAACCGGCTCTCCGTCTCCTCATATCCTCCCCTCCCCTCCCTCATTTCACAATCCAGATCGAGAAAAGACAAAGAGTGGGCAATGGAGAAAAGGAGACATAGATATTTCGTAACCAGTTTTTGTTTCTCTAATAGGTCCATCCCCAGAATGCCAACACTCCAAGATGGGGTTTCCTTTTGCTTTTGTTTTGGCGCTGTTTCCCTTTTTTGCCCCCCATCTTTTTTGAAAGCAAAAAAACACCACAACCAAAACCGTGACCGACCTCCTGCTTCTCCACCAATAAAAAACCAAGGGATGTACAGAGGAAGGGGGAGGTATAAAATGATGCGCTTATTTCTCCTTCTTGGCCTTGGCACCCTTGACCTTCGCCGTTCCGCGGAGGGTCTTCTGTCGGTTCTTGCGCTGCTTGCCTGTAGTGCCGAGCCACGTTAGCATTTCCACATATTGGGAGGAGGAGGAGGAGGGTAGACGTACGCTGCTGTCTGCTGGCACGCTCGACCTTGGTGCCCAGAGCGACACGGACGAGGCGGTAGTTGGGCTCGAACTTCTTCATGGCCTCGGGGGAGTCATAGACCAGGGCGAAGCCGGTGGTCTTGCCACCACCGAAGTGGGTGCGCAGACCGAAGACGGAGATCTGTTCCTTCTGGGCCTTGTACAGCCCACCGAGCTTCTCGCGGAGCTCCTCCTTGGAGATGTTGGCACGGTTGGGGTGCAGAATGTCACTGTCAGACGCGAAACATCAGGTCAGCCTCAGGTTTCCTCGAAATTTTGTCATTGAAAGAGCAGTTTCCGTGCCATGGAACGCGTCCTCTCGTCCGATCTGCCTCAATTTTGCCATTCCCTGCGTGCGCGGTGCCTCTCGGAAAAAGTGTCGCCGTGTCGAGGGTTGAACAAACTCGGGCGGTGCAACGGCGTCAACCCCACGTTTCCACCCATTCGAACTTGATGAGATGTTTCTTTGGTCGTCGTAGATTCGATTGTTGATTTTATACTGAGGCAGGCACCGACGCAAGGGAAATCGCTGATGAGGCAGGCGGAGCGGGGAGACGAGTTCAAGCCAACGACGGAGGGACCAGGGAGATAATACTCACACGACCATCTGCTTGCGACCCAAAAGAGGGTTGCGGATGAACTTGCGAGTTCGCAGGGTAACGGGGCTGTCGTTGTCGGCCATGTTGTCGGTGGTCTCTGCAGGAGAATTGGCTGAGGAGAGACTTTTTGGTGGTTGTCGTCGATTGCTGTCGTTCAATGAAGTGGGAAGGGCTACGAAAATTCCGTCCACGTCCTAAATTGGGTCCAACCCTAACGAAAATCCGCCCTGTGCGTGCATTTCCGCCCGTTTCGTGGGACAGGTCACGTGAACAACCGCAATTGTCGTCAAAGCCCCGGGACATGTGCGCTTAGTCATGTTCTGGTCCTCCGGCCTGAGGTGGGGTATTATGTAAGCGGAGCAGCCAGGTGCTCTTACGGATCTCAGCCAATGAAGCTTCAGCTACTCTCATGCTTGGGGCATCACGGCGGGTGCAGAAGTTCAAGATGAGCAAGGCTTGGTCCAAGGAAGTGGACAGGTTCTGCCACCAGTACTTACAGGTCGAGCCTACTCTTGACTTTCCTAGCCCGGATTTTCTTAGACTCTGCGAGGTTCAGGATGCCCTCTATGCTCGGTTGTTCGCTGACGGGGCAGTCCGTTATGGGCCTCCAGCGCGGTACCAGACAAAGATCTTGAAGGAGCTTGTTGCCAAGGTTGAGGCTAGTATCGATGATTGGGACCAATATGTAAGCTATCCCGAAAATACGCCGCCGGGAGGGAGGGAAATATTGGAACATTCAAGAGTGTTCGTTTCCTCACTCCCGAGCTTAAATGGTCAACTCTGACCTACGAGGTAGGAAGTATCCGAGAACCTGATGAGTACCCTGTCAAGTCTTCTCGCCACACCCGTCCCGGGAGAAGCTGCTTCAGTGCAGCAAAAATGCTATGTCACGTATCACCTCTCAGCTCTGCCTGCCTCCGCGGAGCTCAGGCATGACATCACCTTGTTAGAAAACAGATCCCTGATTTCGGCAGGGGGGACAACTGGCCTTCGTACTTGGGAGGCTGCCATCCATCTTGGCCAGTACCTTTCGCGAAATCCTGCTGTCGTCCAACGCAAGCGTATTCTGGAGTTGGGAGCTGGCACCGGATATCTGTCGATATTGTGTGCGGACCACCTGGATGCCGCTCATGTCATAGCCTCGGATGGATCAGACGATGTCATCAACAACCTCCCTGATAACTTCTTCCTTAATGACCTCCAGGACTCCACCAAAGTCATCCCCATGGAGGTCAAATGGGGTCACGCGCTGGTTGGCACCGAGGATGAGAAGTGGAATGGGGGCAATACAGTTGACGTCGTGCTCGGGGCCGATGTGACTTACGATAAGAGAGTGATCCCAGCGCTGGTAGGGACTGTTTTGGAGTTGTTTGACTTGTTTCCGATGGTGGAGGTGTACATCGCTGCGACGCAGCGGAACGAGGAGACGTTCTCGGTGTTTCTGGACACTTGTAAGAAGAATGCACTGGTAGTTGAGGATATGGAGTTTCCTGTCACTCCAAGGGGTCTACAGGAGGGGCCATTTTACAGTGATGGTCTCGCCATCAGAATATGTAGACTATCTCGGTCGCAATGAGAATGTGGTCTTCACGACTCTTGCGTATTATAAAATTACCACTACAGGAATGCCGAATACACTTTTCAACCTTGATGTCTCATTTCCTTGTCACCCAGTTGGTTACCAATTCATGAGCCTTTATTGATGACGTTAACGGTTCTATACGGGTGGGAGTTCGAGGGAAGGTCAACGGCACAGCATCAAATGCAATCTTCAAGAGTGAACAACTCCAGAAAGCCCTAATGTCTAGCGTTCCTCGATATCTCTGTTTAGACGGTGTGTGCGTAAAATCACAATAGCAGATGCCAGACTTGACATTTTAATACAATGAATATGAAAGGCAAAGATAAGCCCTGCTATCCCAAGGCTGCAGCCCTTCAAAAGGAAAACTCTGTAAACTTTCATACCGACGACTCCCTTGCCGTCGGGACGAGCGTTCACGGTGCTATAATTATCGGATGACGGCAATTCTGCCTGATCAGGACGACAATGTCTGCAATAATCATTCAATAAGCAATACCTTATAATGTTTGAGTGTGTCGATTTCAATGTTAACCGCATGTTAATTCACGAGGAGAAGACGTGCCTCATGTTCTAGAAATCGCCCGAGTACGCCCAGGTGACCATCAGATGCCTAACCAATGGCAAGAAGAGTCACAGAATACCTAAGAAGGCTCGGTATCGTAGACAATAGTACACACTGCACTGCAAAGCCGCCGTCCTTGCTACTGGTGATGAGCCTGTCGAACAGTCTACTGACGTGGGCATGGACGAGCTCCTTGACTGGCAAGTACCTAGTTAAAGGAAAATAGGTGACCCTAAAATATCTCACTAACTCTCGCCATGGGAGGAATGGACCTGAATTTTTCTGGTTTACATTGACAACCACAATGATCGGTAGACAATAAATCCTCTTTGTGGTTTATTGTCTTGACAACTGTTTTATTATTGCGTTATTCGGGCTGAATACATGTGCCTGTCTTTCCTGTCTTTCCTGTCTTGCCTGTCCTGCCTGTCCTGTCTGTCCGCTCATCACCCCCTCCCCCTCCCCCTTTCCGTCATCCCGCCTTTCTCTCTGCTGTAGCCTCCTAGGGCATTGCCCATCCATTTCTCTCGGCTTGGTCAATGAATTGATTGAGATCTATATTGTACTCAATCGATTCAGCCTTCATCCATTCATTCATGACCCTGCCAGGCCGTTTGAGGATAAGCTTTAACTCCTCATGGCCATATCTTGTGCGATCGTCAAGGGTTCCATCTCCAAGTCCTCTAATTGATCAAGGTAAAGAGGGAAGTTTTGCAATGTCTGGAGTTCTTTTTCTCGTTTGTCCGGAGCTATTTCCGACGATCTGCTTCCGAGATAGGGTTGACAGAGACAACTCTTGTTGGCCTTATCAGCAAGAGCTTCTTCTTGATTCTCGGGCTTAAAGTAAAGCTTGATGAGGTTGTCGCGGATCAACTTGGGGATAGGCATGATTCTCTCCAGGCATATAATTGGGCCTGGTTTCTGACCCTCGTTCTCAGCGGGGAACTTACGGCCATTCTCTTTAAACCATCGTTCGGCGCTTTGGGCATCGCCCATACCCTGTGACCAGAGATATCGAGGAACCCTAGGCATTAGGGCTTCCTGGAGTTGTTCACTCTTGAAGATTGCGTTTGATGCTGTGCCGTTGACCTTCTCTCGCATGATCAGGCCAGTATGGAACTCTTCCCAGAGCCTATCTGGCGAGGTAAGGGTCTTTTTGAGACACCATTCTGTACCAGGAATCTCGAATACTGTGCCAAAAGAGCCGCGGCCGATTTGCCCCAGTTTCAGTGTGCTAAGGTCCGCTTCCCGAAGAGCCTCCATGCGTTCCGCAATCGAGGAGCTAGTCGATAGAACTGACCGAACAGAGAGCGTCTTCTTGAGCACGTCTCGAGGAGACTTCGCATCTTCAGGGCTAACCTTGACCAAAGCCGCCTCTTCGGCTCTTGCTACATCCCCGCTCTGCGCGTCGATTATGAGCTGGTGGATTATGAGTTGGTCGATTGTGATTCCTGTTGAATGAGCAAAGTTTACGATTCGCTCAAGTGCCAGGTTCCTCCAGAGACCTTCGATCAAAGTTGTCTTGTCAGTGCGAGCATGACGACGCCTATCCATGATGGCATCACTCGGTCTGTTTTTCTTTGATGCGGTTGTTGTTCTTAGATGCAGGCTTTCTTCGATGAATAAGTTGGTCAAGTTGAAAAGCTGCCGTTGAGTGAAGTCAGGGTGCGGTTGCGTTGAAGTCAAGATGTGGTTGAGTGAAGTTTGGGGGGGAAAAGCCTGAAAAAAAAAGGACTGAAGAAAGAAATCACAGAAGGTTCTTGAGCAAAACTCGCCCAGATTTCATGGCTCGGAAAGGTGAGTCACGCCGCGGGCGTCAGTTGTCTGCCGCCCGACAACAGCTGTAAGGTTCAACTCTGACCGCCCAAGCATGAGTACACGCAAAGTATGTTTTTCCATTTAAACCTGTACCTTGCCGCCCGTACTTTGCTCCCGAGTATCAAAGGTGCGGCTATTTCACTCCTCTGTCCCCCCTTACGCATTGATAGACTCTCTATTCCTTGAAAACCAACATTCAAGATCTGCCATCTCACTCTCTTCCCTGGAAGGCTGACAATGTTGATCATGGGCCATTATATGGAAATTGGAAGAGGCACCTTTGGCGTTGTCTTTTCAGGTGACTCGGATGCTGCTGTCAAAAAGACATTCAAAGGTAGCAACACGCTGGCAGTTGAGTTCGAACATGGGCTGGCTACGAGCTTTGCCGCAACCGCAACAACCCCCTTTCTCAAGCACAAGTTCCCAGAGCCTGTACCACGTGTGCCGTGGTATCAATCAAGCCACGGGATCCAAAAACCCTCGGCAAAAGATCCATGGTGGATTGCCAATCAACACCGCTTCCCATCAACAAACGGCGACGATGTGCCAAACGGAGTGTTTCTGTTCGAACGCATACCACCGGTGCCCCGGATTCTTCAAGAATCACTTATCCGCCGATTCTGGCCACCTGAAAGACAGCAGACCGCGCTCGAAGATCCTGAGAATAGGGATTGCATGATTCGGCCGTATCTTCAAGAGCGGTGGGCTTACCACGAGGGCAGGGGACGGAAGAGGCTGAATAACGAGCAAAAGGAGTCCCTCCGCAACTTTCCCGCGTACCTTGATGACTTGCAAGCCATGGGTATCGACTGTCATGCGGTCTCAAGACAAATCGCACTTGGTCTTGCCGTCGGCCATTGGGAAGCGCAACACGATATGACCGACGTGGAGTTCGTCATTGCTGGACGATATCCTTCGCCGGCAACCACACCAAGAGCCCATACCGTGCCGCTCGACGCCTACGACCAGAGAGAGGACCTGGGCAACCGAACAATCATGACGGAAGGGACAGATAAAGGGAAAAAGTACGGTTTACCGGCCAACACCCAAATGTGGTTCGTCGACTTCGACAAATGCAACCGCGTGCGTGTGTGGGATGATACCCTCACCAAGGACATTCGCAAGCTTGCACTGGGAATCTGTGCCAACGACCCCTACTACCCGAACCCACTGCCAGATAGCCAGCTCGGCTGGGATGTGTTTGTGACGTTTACCGAGACGTATATCCAGGCCGGGCGCTGTCTGCTGCAGCGGGCCTTTGAGAAGGTTGCGACGAGCGACGAGCACCTAGAGCGGATCCTCCAGCGACCGTCCATGGTCATGAGGGAGTGGTCAAAGATTATGATAAATGCGAAGAAGAACAATGAGAGGGAGGTTTATGACGCCCGTGTGAAAATACGAAAGGAGCAAGGATGGAATCGGCCAGCTTGGGCCATATAGAGGAGCACCCAACACAGTTTCAATATTGAATCATTGAGCGACCATCTGTGTGTATGTGTGTGTGTGTATTGTTTAACGCCGGTAGATCCCTCTACAGGGCAAAGGGTGCCCGTGTAATTACCTAGATAATTGCATAGGAATAGTAGTCAGGGCTCCCAGTGTTGGAGGGGCACAGACGTCCCCTCCCTCCCTCCTTTAAAGGCCTTCTTCTAGTTATTCCGAAGGCACTTAAGTTCTCAGGGGGAGACCAAGCTCTCATTATCCCTAGCCAGGAATTCTCTTAATTCCTCCTCTCTCCGCAATACTAAACATCCCATCCAAGGCCCTAGTAGCCAGGCTGTCGTAATTAGAGGAAGTAACTAAGAGGAAAACATCCCCTTCAAAGGCGACTCCGTTCTAGATAAAAATCTAAGGCAGCTAGGATTCAGCTATGAGGAGGAGCCAGAGGCGAGGCAGCTCTTCAAGTATTCTCCTCAAGCCCCCAGATCAAGGAGATATTAAGAAGCTGCCTCTACTGGTCGAAGAGAGAGGCCGGCTCTAGGTATCTCCGTGGCCCTTAATCTTAAGGGTTTAGAGAGGTCTCTCAGTCATCTAGCTACTCGAAGCCGGCAGAGGCTTCTAAAAATAGCGACCATCTCTTAACTGAGTTGAAGAGATGGTGGAGTCTGCCACTAGTATTGTCAGATTATTGAGGGCTAAGAATCAGTACCCAAAGACAATATACTCAAGATTACTAATTTCAATCATTTGATACTACCGTATTATTCTCGTCATCGTAGAAAGCGGCTGGCCTTCGTCGCATCCTGTGCTCCCAGCGAGCATTGGCCACGCTGTGGCGAAGGTGAATGGCAACCTACTTCTTCAGGTTGTTCCAGGTTTCAGAAAATCTCCTATCCCTGAGCGTCAAAGCACGTCACAGCAGGTGCCGGAGTAAAAGGTCAATTGGATGACGTGTGGCTGCACGCTATCAGCGCCCCAAGGTGGTACAGCAGCAAACCTGAAGCAGTCTGTCCCGTCCCCATCAGCGGTGTGATAGCTTTCAGCGCAAACACCAATCGGTGATGGGATCAAGTTATCACGATGAGCAATGGATGAACCGATAGCAGGCGACGATCCAAGGCCAGTGTCTTCTCCTTTCCTTATACTGGTTGGCTTAAAGAAGCTAGTCAAATCCTGTTTGCCGCAAGATGAGTGTGGCACTGGATGATCTTTTGCCACGCAGGGATGTTACATGAAGCCGTGAGATCAAAACGTTCATCTAACGACACCTGCAGGGGCACTGTGACCCGGAGGCTTACTAGCCGATAATGTGGTAGCACTTTAGGCGACAAGGCGGTGGGAGATAGGAAGCAAGACCTTGTGATCGTCGTGTGTGTAAGTGGCTGATAGCTGAGAGACGGGAAGTGAGATAATTGGCGCTTGACATCATTGCAGGCGCGATAACAATGCGCACAACCAGGAAAAAGCAAGGAAACACGGCAGCCTATGCACGTATGGAGCGATCTAGTCACGGGGGCACGAAAACAACGATCGGGGCGGTCGACGAGCTGCGATCGATGATTCCGATGTTGAGGGATGTTTAGGGTAGGGCAATGTGGGGTTTACTGTGGCTGGGGCGACACTCAATTGAGCACCGCCACAGCAGAGCGCCTCAGCTATGAATCTCCGTCATGAGCTGGCAACGAGCGCTAGAGGCGGCAGCAATGAGACAGGGACTCACAAAAGTCCACGCAGAGTTGAAACATACATTCCCCATGTTCTAGAAGCTAGACAGACACGGTTTAGATGATTGACGTAATCTTAAAACAACAAAAATTCCTTCAGGGGCGAGGGTGGCCGACGCCGGGTTCGGGAGCAATGTGCCAATTTCCAAGCCCTGCTGGGCAGGTGGCAGGGATGGCGCCGGTAGGTAGGAGCAAGTTGCGATCGTTGACGGCGTTCCCGCTTCTTTAGCTGGCGAGGCATTGGCCGAAACCCACGATGGAGATCGACGAGGGTACGGAGTAGCTGCGACAACTCCCCACACATCGATCACGCTTGGGGTCAATCACCACACACTCTGGATGCGTGCGTACTGTGCGGTTAGAGACGTGTTGCAGGTCTGGCACCGGACCGGGATGGGATCACATCACAACGTGATGTGGAATCCCATGACTGGTTAGGCGAACCGAACGGAGGGCATCCCGGGGGAGCATAACGGGTAAAAGAGACCCTTGGGGAAGTTGAGTTGCTTCATCGAGCTTATCGCTCGGTAAGTGCGAATTGGCTAGCCCGGTTATTCACATCCTGTTGAATCCAGGGTACCACACCATCACAGCTGTGATGGATGGCTGCCAACGTGCTGGGCGCTACTTTGTAGATAGCCCGCTCAGATCTCCCTGGGAAGCGATGTGACAGCTCAAGCCAATAATTGGCAATTGCCTTTCATTTCCGCGCGCTCCCGTTTCGGGCATTCGATGGCAGCGATGCACAATCTTTAATTTCCCTGGAATGAATAGCCTCCCACTGAATCGCGATTTAGTAGCGGTAGTCTGGGGCTCTAACTGTAGCGGGTCCTCTTTCCTGCCGAGTTTTTTCTTCAGTGCTGCTGGTTCACTATTGCGTAATGCAACATTTCTCCATGCTGGGTACAACCGGCTGGAGAAGGATGGCTAATCTGGATCAGGGTCTCGTCGGCGGCATCAGGCGTACAGTACTCTTCATACGGCCTCACCTCACTTGGCCTCGCCTGGAGCTGGTGGAGGACTGGTTGAGGGTAAATGGCCGCCCCTGGAGTAGGCAGCAAGTGATCATCCGTTCCTTGAAACTCTCCTGACAATCCACTACTGTTTTCTTGCTCTTTGTTTCTTGGGGCATTTGTGACGCAAGCTCGCTGGATGTGATGAATCAATCAATTAGCAGCATTGCCCGCCCAGCCATTCCATCCTACGCACACCCGTCCGTGGCGGGCGTGGGCCGGCAACTGGCCGCCGACTTGATTAGCTTTGGGCAATACATCACTTTGTGTCAATGGCACGCCATTGATCGATCCAGTCTGATACATGCGTTCATTTTTAGGTCATTCCCGGACACAGACAAATAGTGTAGCACGCACTGCAATACAATCCACTCAAAGAGCTCTAGCTGGTGCAAAAGCGCTGCAGACTCTGGCCACGCGCCCGCTAATAGCGCCTGTGGCCCACTGAAAAAGCAACGCAGCAGGGCCTGACGATGGCCGCTCTGCCCAATCGTGCCCTCTGCCGTGGCCACGCAACGTCCAAATGTCGGGCTGTAGCAGTGCGGATGGGGATCAGCCAGATGGGATGGATATCTTGGGGTGGCCATGGCGGGAATATTGCCCCTCCCTCCCCTCTAGCCGGTCGGCGCTTTGGCGTTGGCAGTTGGCAGCTCACGATAGCGTCCCGTTGATTGCCATTCACTTATCGCCTTCGTATTTTCACCCACACCACCACCACACCGGTCTGTGGTTGGCTGTCTGGGCTAGGCGGTTATTGGGTGCAACGCTCTGGCTTTTTTCTTTCTTTTATTGCCACTCTACTGTAGCCGGTTGTTGCTGTTAAACCTTATCGTATTGTGGTCTTCGTAAGCACCGTCGTAACCGCCGTCCAAGCCTCTTCGGATGTTTGCTCTGCGCCTTGGTGAAGGGAGCTGGAAAAAGAAGTAACCATCGTATCCTGATGCCGTTACCGTATCGCTGTAAGACTGGCTGCCACAGTCTCTCTGGTTCCTGCCCATTTTCGCTCAACGCCCCAAGTGACCTGCCTGCCCGCACTGGCTCGGTGCCAAGAATCCCTTATCCAGTCACCAGGATAAGCGGCCGTTGGCGAATTATCGGTTGCAGCGAGGCTCCACTGAACCTGGAGAACCTTCTTTCTGTGCCAGGCCTTCGACTCGTGTACATGCCAGCCGACGTCGAGCGAGCAGGGCTGTTTGTCCCGGCGTGTGCAATTGCTATGTAGTACGTACATTGCAGCCAGAAGCAGCCCAAGACGCCCAAACGCCGACGGCGAATCGAGAGTCGTCTCCTAATCACACCCGCGCCAGCGAAGCCAGGCAAGAAACCCGTCCCCGTCCCGTTGGTAAGCAAGCACACATCCCGAATCGACACTGTCTGGCACTCTTTTGCCCGGGCCACAAGTGACAGGGGAGCGCAGGGGGGCATCACAATCTCATTTCAGACCTATCGCAGCCCCGGCCAGACCCCCCTGTCTCGTTGGCACGCACTAGCCGTGGGTCCCAAAGCTTGCTTGCAACCCATCGACAAGGAAAAGCTCTTGGCCCAAGTTCGACAGTCCGTCTCATATTAGTACTACATAGTACCTGCCGTCCGCACCCTTCTTCGATAGTTGACCTTCGCAATCTCCCCTTATCATTGCTCCAACTCCAGCTCTCCCTGCCAACGACGTCTTCATAGACCAAAGAGCGAGCTAAACTACTGCTTATAATATATCCAACCCTCCTCGAGCGCCCCTATCTACCTGCCTCGGACCCATCCAGCCTTGTCAGTTCCGTTACGGCTTGTCTCGGCTCCTTATAAGCACTCGAAATTTCCCAACGTCCATGTCACCATACCAAGCGCGAGTCCGATAATTAAGTCCTACTTTGATCTCTCTCGGCTGTTGCGATACATTGGCACATTGGCCGTTGTCGACCCGAACCCCGAATTCGACTTGTCTCTCCTAGTGTCTCATCACCGTTTAATCAAGACCAACCTGTCACATTTCGAGCTTGGCATATGCGTTACAGATGGTGCCGTTAGTAACGCTACTACACTCAACACCGCAACGAGCCTACACTTTCCGACTGGAAATAAATCTATCATAATGGCTGTTGCAACCTGCCACAACTATACCCTGGCCATGCAGGAGTACATGGACCTCCAAGTAGAGCGCGACGAGCTCTGCAACCACCTCGACCAGATTCGCCCAGCTCTCAGCATCAACACCGGTTACGGCTCGGTGAGCTCACCCTCGGCGTCTCCTACCAGATACTCGGCTTCC